TCAACTTTCTGTAGAGAATCTAATAATAAATGTGTTTTATACTTTACTAAACTGCCATGTACTCTAATCCCTCTGACACCAGTGTACTGTGTTGTATGTGAACCAGTTCAACAGGTAACTGCTGGGAAATGCCTATTATTTAAGTCTGTCTGAGAAGACATGAAAGATTCTTATCTCCTCTACTCACTTTCACTTTTAATTTTTTGCTTTGCTGTCTCGTCCAGCAGACACAACCTTAATCTCTGTATTGCTGCAGTTTTGGAATTAGTTGTTTCACTCTGATGCCATGCGGTTACCTAAACTTGAATGTCTTTCTTAGATTGTCAGTGTATGAGGGAGGGGAATCCCAATGTCTGAACACTGCCTATTTTATGAGCACTGTAGTACAGTTTAGAGTGATGAAATCAGCTGTAAACATCTAATGAGTAAACACGTCTATTAAAGTTATCAAAACAGTTCTGAAAAAGCCAGATGACTGTATTTTTCTTTTCTTTTTTTCCCCACACAGACCTCAAACCAACAGGGAAATTTCCCAAACTTATCTATGAGCTTTATTTTCTTGTTTACATACTCATCGTACTTTCAGTTTGAACACTGTCTGCGTTGCCCTGATTACATATCACTACAGCATCTTTCTTTGCTCATCTGTTTTTGTAAGATTGAAATCCTCACAATAATTTTGGACTTTTCGAACTTCAGTTGAAAGTTTCAGGGGCTTGTCTGCATTGCAAAAGATAAGAAATGAGTCATTCAAACCTGCTGGAAAAGTCATTTCAAAAATCCACAGGATTCAAAAATGAAAGACAGAAAATTCAGGGATTTTTTTGTTTTACAGGGTTTCTACCGTCCCAAAGTGAAATAATGTGCTGATGGACTTTACTCTATTTATCACCACAGCATCAGGCAAAACAAATGTCTTATTGGTAAATGTCACACTGAGAATCAGATGGTCCAGCAGGTCAGATGAGACACAAGCACAGATGACTTTTTTTCCTTGTGATTAATAAGTTACACGATCACCTGATAGCACAAGCTTGTTTTGGCGAGATCAGAAATAAAAACAATGTTTGTGATTAAAGGGAATAAAGTTCCTTATGATCTCATTCT